ATCGCATTTTCATCTTTTAATGAATCTTATTATTACAAATTTCAATGTCTTCGTACTGCCTGCAACATATTTACAGCGGCAATCAACCGCGCGACATTACAAGTTTAACATCTATATACTTTCGTCTTTCCTCCAGCATAAATTCGTCAAAACTCAAAAGTGAAATCGCCGTCACATTTTCCACACTAGCGTTGCGTCACAATTTCCTAGTGTCTATGGTAGCAGACGTTCTTCGGATGTTAGAAGCTTTTAGGTTTTAGAGTTCAAATGAAAATTTGGTTTAGCATCGCATCCATACTTGTTAGTTGACAAAATTATATGTTGCCTTCGATTTTGAAGGTACTTCAACAATCTCGTCCTAGAAGCGTACTTCAGAGTCACAGTGTCGTTTCTATCGATGTTGCCATCGGAAACACTGTATTCCTTGACAAATTTATAGTTCTTTGGTTTGCTGAAAGGTTTGATTAAAAACTTGCTTAAACTCTCATTATAAGGAATGTTGAAGATGGTCGTCCATTGCACATCTTTGTTCGTAACGTCGAATCTTTGCCATCTTTAAATTGGGCAGTGCAGACGATCAATAAGGTCAGCTTTATCATTGGCAAACTCAATCAATCAGATAATTTCTTATGAGCACTTAATGATTGCTTCAATCAGTGGAAAGTTTTGCTGACTGCTGCGGCCAAAGAAATATAGAGTATTTTTAAATTTGTTGGTATTCACTAGTAGTTGTATTTCCTCTTCAAACTTTCTCGTAAAATAAATCGCTGCATGACGTGCAAATTACATTCGGAATTCAATTTTTCAACTCGAGTTCTAGGAGTCGCTCATTTGTACTCTAACTCATTCGAACTAATCATGATTTGAATTTGTTAAAAAACTGCGTAATACAAAATTTCCTAATCTTCAGCGTGTACGCTTGTTCTCATCTCTGTTACAGGAAACTTAATATTTCATTTTAAAGCTCAATTCTCGTTCACTCATTTTTAAGACAAATTTATCAAATCTTTTCCACGGACAGTCTCGAGTGATCACATGAGATTAGTTTGACTCGAGATCGTTTGCATAAAATTCGTTACGGCGAAGCAACGGTACCAAAAGATTGTCGAAGCTTTTATTAATAACCCCTACAGATGAAAGAGACTTTGTGGCAACTTAATTGACTAGAATTAATAAGGCCGGTAGTAAAGGATATGGAAAAATTATGCAAAAAATAATATAACGGTTACTTCACTTCATATAAGTCCTGCTTGCTCTGCCTGATAATATATTTAATATTTCATCCTTCTTGTACGAGGCACCGAATGAAACTTCACCATTCCTGCCCGCAGAAATGAATTACTATTCATCGTCCCTGTTAGTGACGTTGAATTAAAATTCAACGCTTCTATTCGTTCGTCGAATTCAACCGTTCCAACACGAGATGCGACGGAGTTCACTCCATAGTTACATTTCATCATCATTCCCGATGGCGACGAATTATAACTTTAGAAGAAAGCTTAGATATGCTAGTGAATGGCGCCCAGCGTCAAGGGTCAATAATTGTCCATGGTGATTTTTTGATTGCTTCCCAAGTATAGACATATCGAAGTCTACGGTTAAAAAATGGGCAAGTCGTATAACATCAATCTCCTGGAAAATTTTCTGAAAAAAAATCCCCTGCGCTTAGACATACCCATCAGCTAAATCTAGCATTAGTATCAATGGCTCTTAGATAAATTACTCTCAAGAGAAATTCTAAATTATTTAAATAATATTATTGTCATCATTTAAGAATAATTATTTACGATTAACCAATAATAGTAAGACAATTAAGTATATAACGTCACTGATCGACGCATCACCAGCGGCGACTGTTATTTTCCACATATTGCATTAAAGTTTTTTAATCGTAAATCCTCCTATTGTATTAACGCGATCTCTGAGTAATTAAATTGATGCATCAATTTACCAACATCCAGAGGCAGTATTGATGGAAATCGTTTATCATGCAGTTAGATCAAAAATTCGATAACGTTCAAATAAATTTCAATCTCATGAAGTATCCCTGCCACTTTCGTCGAGACTAAAACAAAGTAAGATCAATAGCAGCCGCAGATCGTGCCAGACCAGCAGTTGTGGAGATCGATACTTGATGGCTATCGGTTGCCAGCGAATTGGGGTCTTTCGTTTCTCCTAAAGCCCATTTGTTCTTTGGACTGAAGTTACTCATTCTTTTCTTCTCTTTATTCACAGTTGGTTGACAGAAAATTTTCCACTATTATTATTCATATTTTTTCCTGAACCGAATAATAATTAATATTCTTCAATTGTTACATTACTTTTTGAACTGTTTAGATCAATATTTTTATATTTCATAATTGAATATTGTAGTTTAATTCTGTTTATTCAGTTTTTCAATTTAATGCTCGTGTGAAGCAATATTTATAAAGGTTCTCGGGACAAAATCTAAAAATTGCTCAAAGAGAAACCAAAGCAATCAAGACTTACAACAACGTGACATTTGCTTTGCTCCTCTCTCTAACTGCACCGAATAATGCAACGTTCATTGAATGATAATTTTGTAAAACGTTTACAAATTCTGTCATCAATCATTTCATATGACAGCATTTCATTTCGTTTCATATTCATCAATCATCGACTATCACCACCAGCAAGACTACCATAATCGTTCTCATGCCTATACCTATATACCAACTGCATATAAATTAAAGTTCAATTGCCATGATTATTGAAAATCTCACACATAGAAAACAATCTAAATACACACATAAAATAATCTAAATTCAAGCATTGATCTCGACCAAGACGTGGCGTATGGATTTTTCACACACAACCGATTGAAAGAATGGCTCTAGTAATTTGATTTTTTTTATTTCAGGCCAGACTGCAATTGTGCAAGAGGTTAATTGTGATCTTTTGGCACGCTTTTATATGCTAAAAGTAGGGGCAAAAATGTTAATTGTTCCTTCACTTCTGTGTTTTTATTCAGAACTCTTGCTAACGATTTGTCTTAATATAGGAATTCCTCTTTGACGGGAGTTGGTTGCAAAAACATATTCAAGGGATTGGCCGACAAGTGATAGGAAACGAGCTAGCCTCGAGTGCCGACTCCTGCCATGAATGCCGACTCCATGGAGAGCGTTCCAGATTGGATCTGAGAGCTCATAGTGGATCCATGCATGGTAAAGCAAATAAGTTTACATTGGCGCTCTGTTTGAAAAATATTTTAATAATCTTCAGTTCCTGAAAGGAGTTTCCTGACTGATAGAATGAGAGTTATTAACTCAACCTTGTCATTGCAGGTTCCATTCTGCACTATTCTCTGAATGAGGTTCATTGAGCAACATTTATTACCAACGTACGAATGAATAACTTGAAACATGATGTTGCAGAATGAATTAATTAAGCTTTGTAATGAACATAGAATATATTGTGATATAACGGCACAAAGACCAGCAGAGCCTGTTATGTGCCGAGCTTGTTATTCTGATTAGTTCATCTTATCGACGCAATTGCATTTTGAATACGTGGAAATAAACTCTTCGTATATTTGAAGAAAAAAAGTATTTTAATCCAAATGTATTGACTTCTAATGCCTAGTTATTGCATACAATCTTTCTGTTCTTTGGTTGGTGAACCAATGCAAGAAAAATGTTAAATGTCCTATCATAAGTTCAGTAGAAAGTTGGTCGCCGAATGTCGAGGAACCAACTTCGCAATCCCTATGAGGACGAAATTCACTTGGAAGTTAAGTTAAAAGCAAAGAAAATTTCACAAAAATTCATACTATCTTTATAGAACATGTTTCGGAGTCCAGCTCCAGAGTCCGAAACGTTTTCTGTAGAGAAAGTATGAATTTTTGTGGAATTTTCTTTGCTTTTAAGATTCTATTGAATTTGCGATTCAAGCAAACGAATTACCTCATTACTTATAGACGAGATTTACGGTTAAAGAAGCCAAAGGTAAGTCGCGGCGAACGAAAGTCAATATTTGTCTCGTCATTGGCTTTCTGAGAATTTCAACGTCGAGGTATTAATTAATGCGAAAGCAGAATTTTATTCATGAATGAGGGCATACTGCGTAGTCTTTTACAGTCATGACGACGTATTCAATCAGTGAACTATACATTGCGTGTTGAAGCTCATAGCAAAAGCCATAGCGACTTCATACGTGCACTACAATATTTCGGTAAATAATATCAACTTGCTATGAGGATCGTCCGGTCAACCAGGGAACAATGCACAATTTATTGGTCAGCATTACCGGGCCCAAAGCAACCGAGCTTTGTATACATGGCGGTTACATCAAACAAAAGTTTCTCAAATTGGTTAATTTCGCTTGCTATACAAGAATGCATTACGAAAATAGATACATTTAATCTCATTCAGAAAAAAAACGTGCAAATTTTTATTTGTATATAAAAATACGAAACTGTGCAATACTGCCTCTGCAAATCATTCAATGTATTTGAATTAGGGATAATGTCAGTAAAATAAATTTCACAATAGTGAAGATACGCATCAGCTGTTGGAATGAACAAACTAATGCTCTGTACACTTTTTATAAATTTTTGTCTGTATGATTGATGTTTTCACAGGCGCAAATAGTGCAAGTCGACGTTCCCGTTAAAAAGTTTTCTATTGTGATTAGTTTTGGCTTTTTCTATTGCATTAGTAAAATTTACCGTGAATATTTGTCTAGCCCTTCAAAGAACACTTATTTAAATTCTGAAATTTAAATTCAGTGAACACAACCATATTCGTACTTATATTATCAGTCTGCTTAAATCGAAAGCTTCGAAAAAATCTTAAATCGAAATCTAGCAAAAGATTGTTTATCTTGTCACATAGTGCTTAGTACAGCAGCTAAAAATAACGTGAAAATGTGAATTTCACATTTACATGCAGGCCTTAGGAAATTAGGACTCTTTACAAATTCTACCATGACGCATAATATCCCGCATTACTTTGATTGTCGCAAGAAAAAAAGTGCAAGTAATGACGTTTAATCGTTCATACGGAACAAATCTTTAGAGTTTAGGGTGCCGATAAATTGGCGAAGGAAGCGAAGAACTTTGAGGTGAATCTTAAGTGCATTGCCATTCACTTGCTGAACTTGCGCGTCAGAGTTGTCTATTCTTAGAAATAACTTCTTTGATGCATATGATCAGCTGTAACAGTCTGGAGCTTTAAAGGCTCCGAACGTTGAACATGCATACCGAGCTGAAGTGCGAGCATCTTAAGAATTTGTTTAAGTGTGGTGTATAATAAAATGGGCAAATCGGGACGAAATGAATTCGCAACGAGAAGGTTGTGCAAATGTATTATCAAAAGCCTAGAATTGCATTGGTGGAAGTGTAAATTTTCGTTAGTTTAGTAGTCGTAGCTAATATTTTCGTGTAGACGGTGTAGCACGTGTAAGTTTCTTGGTGCGCAAGGAACAATGTATGCCAATTCGTGCGGTCAGTTGTAGGTGGTTCAGGTCTTCTGTGAAGAGAATTTACTGAACCTCTCGCACGCAAATGGTGTGAATTAATCTCTTAGAGACAAAACGGCAGCAACAATTTTTCTATCATGCTAAAGAAGAATATTAATCTCTAGCTGGAGGGGGGGCGAGTTATTTATGAACTTGAGGTTTAGTTAGGTGGGTGTGCATACGGGTCATTGAACTGCTGTGGCTAGTGGTCGCAGCTTCCGATCTGATACACCGGTAGTTGTTCTAGGATCATTATCTCTGTTATTCACCGATTACAAAGTTGATCTATACGTGCAAAGGAAACTAATCTGAGTAATTAAAGTTTTTTGCTCAAGAGTTTCGCTCTTGATCTTGCATTTTAGACCTTAGCTATCCTGTTGAAATTTGTCCCTCTTTTATTATGCAGGCTTCGTTTTGGTGCCACTATGTCTTGGACCTTCAAGCTTGCGCTGCTGGCAGCCGCGTCGTCTGTCTCACTTGGAGGTCAGTACCTTCAAATTCAATGTGTAAAGTCTATTGCCCGATAGTCTCCACAATTCTTTAGAAAACATTTCACTGGCTGACAGCTGCCTTGAAATAAAGTATACTTATGCATTGAATCGTAGCATATTCCAATTACTTCCCTGGCCTCGAAAAATAAGGCTCAGTAATTTTATTTTCCACCTTAGCGGTTATTATGCGGAATTTAGTATCCTCGCCTGATGTCGAGGAAACTCCTTGATACTCCTGGTGACACGTTATTTTTCGTTGAATCGATCTTTTAATTGGTTTGTATTTATCGCCAGCTTATAGTTTGAAGACGCTAGACTAATTCAACCCGGTTGTATCCAGCCATACTGTTTTTAAATCTCTCTATATCTATGGGTGTCCGATGAATCCAACTTTCTTCTGGTGCGGTTGCAGATGGCACAATGAAAGTTGGTGCTATAATGGACCGCTGTTTAGCAAACGGCGACTGCTTGATCTACTCGAGCATTTGCGTCATTCGCAATCGTCCTCGACCAGAAGGTCGTCATTTTTACCTGGTAATTTCTGCAGCTGACCTACTGAGCTACTTTGAAACTGGGGAGGAAACCACGGTGCCCTCCACCACCACACCTGATCCGGCTGTGGACGTAGTAGTAAATAATGGAACTACGGCGAGGGCTGAGTTGCCGAACCACGACCGTGCAAGTATTACGGAAGCAACTCCTGAAAACGCAGAGCACGAGCGCTTTCGCCGAAGCAAGGAACAAGAGACCGCCAAAGCCAGCTCTAACTATGAGCAGTTGACGGAGTTATCTCGAATTTTAGGCGAGCGTAACCTTCTAAAGCATTCTAGAGCTGGAGATAAGAACCTCCAATCCGGTATTCTAATGGATGACGAGTACCAGTATCTACACCGAAAAGTTCGTTCTAGCGATTCATTCCAGCCATTGAAGGGAAACGCTTTGCAAGACGATGCAGTTGTTGACGCTTTTACGGCTCCTGAAATTTTTGAGAAATTCGTGATTGGTGATCCTTCAGAGAACGAAGATGCTGAGTATATCGACTACACTTACTTCGATGACGAAGGTGGATTCGTAATCTACAAATACAAATATAACGCTACTTGTCATCCGAAAAGTTGCAGCAGTGGAATCCAGTTCTATCCACATCCTAAATATTGCAATGCGTATTTCGTCTGCGATTTCAAGCGCGATGTCGCTGCAGTTCCCGTCATATGCCCGACTAACACTTACTTCGATGTCAATAAATCCGCGTGTCGTCGGCCCGAGCTTAATCCAACAACAATGTGCAATCCAACGTTCGATTGTTCCGGAGTAATGTCTACTCCATAGTTATTTTTCAGATAAAAAATTGATCCAAATTATATTGTTCATTACCCTGTTCCGAGATAAAAGCTGCTTCAGGAACTCAGGTATAAAGGCTCTACTGAGCAGCGGTTTTTACTTCGTCGTTGCTGGTTGATCCTTAGTCATTATGGAAATTTCAGAAAAGTACAGCTGGAGTGAAATCCAATTGTTTTTCGGCGACACCTTCTGTATGAACCGTTGCAATTTAGTTCTTTTTATTCTGCATAATTTAACATGAAATTGAAAAATCTCCAATGACTCATGCCTATTATTCGCAGGTGCAACCCATAATAAAGATCAAAGCGCGTTCTTCAAATACGGTGTTCTGTGTCATGGATCCCGTGGCGGCTGCGCTTGGTTCACCATTCGCCGAGAGTCGGATCGATTAAAACTCGGTCTTCATTACTCGGCTCAACATACAAAGCTTGATCAACTTGAAGGTCACACCGTTCACTCGGGTGACTCAGAAAACGAAACCTTCCTTAAGATTATCACGCCGACGATCTGGGAAGAGCTCGTAGCAACTAAGAGAGCTTCTAATTACGAACCTCGGCTAGACCTCTCTGAGGAAGCAATGGCCAGTTCTGCGACAAATCCAGTAATAGACTCTTCACCTTTCGCTACTGATCGACCCTTGATGGACGTTTCTACAGCTACAGATTTCCCCACCAAGGAGAGTTTTGTTGCTGAGCAGCCGATGGGTGTGGATGTAAACGGCAACCACAAGACACCTCGCAGAGCTTCTTTACAGTCGTACGAGAAAAACTACAGTAGAGATAAAATCCCGGTAACCTTCGAACCTGAAGGTGTGGTGGCAGCGTCAATTGAGCCTGAACAGCCGATGCAGCTAACTGCCATGTGGGAGTACGATAGGACGTGCAAGCCAATCTGCAAGAGAGTTGGGGAATTGTTCCCTCATTTGACAAACTGTGATAAGTATTATCAATGCAGCAATAGGGGACCGCAGTCTCTCAGCTGTGGACAGGGGACATCGTACTCTCCTTTAATAAATACCTGTGACCACGCTCACTCTGCAGTTAATGACTATTGTCATATGCATGAACAATGTCCGTAACTTACTGTTCCAACGCGAAATTAAACTTGCCATTCGCATCTACATATAAGCGTTCAACTCTCTTGTGTAAAGCCAACAGGCCAACAACGTCGCGTCTCAAGTTATCTTCTAAACCTTCTAATTTTGGATATTCTGCATCGAAGTGATTCCATGACCATCGCCATATAATGGAAATAATTTTTCAATAGGGCAATGAATTATTTTCAATCCACCAACTATACTTCAATGTCCATCTCTCCAGCACATATTAAATCAGATCGAAAGTCACATAACCGGTCCATTTTCGAATGTCTTGTTACGAACTATTGATTGATGCGCAGCTCTTTGCTCTTGAAGTGCATTGTGGGGCAATTGCACAGAGATACGCGCACATTCTCCTCTTTGGTAATTCGTCTTTCATTACACGTACTAAATTAATTGAAACTTTACCAAACTCCATGTCTTTCCATGTAATATACGCTCCCATCAATAAATCTTCAGACACGCATAGGTATCCATTCTAGTTTTTATTTTAATCCTTTCAATACACGGTTTTAAATAAACACCCCAAAATTCCAATGTCAACTTGAGTAGTCCCGAATAGAACTGACGTGCTTCGTACTCCGTCATTTGCATGTCAGCAGTGGCGCATCATTTGACGAGGAGCCGGAGAATCCTTTCAATACACGGTTTTAAATAAACACCCCAAAATTCCAATGTCAACTTGAGTAGTCCCGAATAGAACTGACGTGCTTCGTACTCCGTCATTTGCATGTCTGCAGTGGCGCATCATTTGACGACGAGCCGGAGATACCTGAGCTCATGGCAGAGCCATAGCGCTGCCGACAACGTCACCAGAGACCCGCACTGGTGAAGAGACGCCAACCACGTGGGCACGTACAACACCAGCGTGCTGATGCCCAAGCCCACCTGCCCCACGCAAACTCTTTGTCAAGTTTTACCGTTTAATGCAATGTTTCATTTCAAATACAGAATAAATTATATACTAGCAAAAGCCTCTGTTATTTAAGGCAGTCCTATGAGCCGATAAGAAGGGTCAAAATTAAGATATTATCTACTCGTATTTGTTACGGATAGTTCTTTAAATTTATACTTGTGCAATTATGAAAACGCTAACGTATACGATATATCGACCAAAGATAACACAATATCGAGGACCTGACCTGCATCCATGCCGCCGCTGCTAGCGCTGCGGCAGCGCTGTGAGCGCGCTGCGACAGAACGAGCCGCCCTCCCCGCCGCCCCCACAGTCCTAGAGCCGTCGCCAACACCAGCGATGTCGTGCCCTGTAAAGTCCATACTCGTTTTGTACACACTAGAGGCATAACGCGACACAAAATTAAGTAATAACAGATCGAATACGATAGAGGAACTATCCAAAAATAGCGTTGAGAGCCATGAGAAATTATTAGTATCAAAGGAATAACAAAGAGGAACAAACTGAAGGAAGATCAGAAAGACACACTCCTATGTTCGTAAAAAAAACTCACGAGAGCCGAGGATCAAAAAATAATAAAATTAAAAAAGAATTGAAAACGCCAAAACACTACATTTAGATTAACTAACATAACGACTTGAAATAAAAAATTAAGGTGTTGGCGTTGCTTACATAATTAATAACTGAAAACTGGAAGTGACGAATGATAATTGAAGCTATAGATCCCAAGTCAGTGACAACGCAACTTGTTACCGTTGCATCGACGTTTGAACCGCGTTCATAAGAAAAGATTTTTATATGCTCGATATTTACTCACGATTCCAGAAAAAAAACTGACCATAATTCTGTGGTCGAACTGCACGGTGGTGGGATTCTCTGTGAAGTTCCTGAGGGCGGGGGAAAACGCAAGCAGGTCTGAGGGGATCCAGCGGTCAGCCATCTTTGGGAAGGAGTTGTAGACGAGACCTGCGTCTAATCCCGCGACTAGCGCTCCTGTAACACACCGCAGGCATCTTAGACATTCCCACACAGTGTCAGACGAGCGTTCGTACTTGGACTAAACTGCACTTAACTCAAAACACAAGTTTTTGACAGCGTTTGTATTTAGACTAAACTGCATTCTCAGAAACACCGATTTTTGAGGAGGAACTAGACCAAACTTGTGCGTCCGTTTCCATGAAGCTGGATCTACTGCCATGGATCTAAAACTAAGATCCGTAACAATTCAACCCAGCCATTTGTTACCTAAGTCAAAACACACGATTAGTATGATGAATCACATTTTGGAAGCATTACGAATCCTGCATTTATTTACATGTAGAAAACGAATCTGCAGAATAATTTATTATATGCGAGAGTATTGTGTATACAGAATATTCTACTGACAATATATGTACATATTATACAACAAATTTTCATCAGGTGTATCCAGTGTTTTATAGAAATGTTTAATATTAGTGGAATGGCTCTTGATCAATATAGATCCAAAGTTTACATCCCATATGTTAGCATGACGACTTTCGGCACAGTAATGATAACATGAATTATTGATAAAGGCAGAAAAAAATATGAAACAGCTGCAGGTTAACACCTAAATACATGTACTCAATAAGTCGATTCAATGATTAAGAAACACCAAGCCCATGATGGCTGGGAAGCGGGCTAGACAATACCAGACATGGCAGTGAGGAAGACCCAGCCTTTGGTAACGTGAGCCCAGCGGCGGAAACTAGCAGCCGATGGTGTGACCTGCGCAACAAAAGCTTCATTGGAAAAGTACATCTATACTGCATAGTGAAGAACGATAGATTATTCAATTAAGTGAATAATCAGGAGATAATGTGGGTAGAAAAATTCAAGGCTGTGTTCAATCAAAAGTTATTGGTCTGAAAATATACTATCTATTGTATATGTATAATAACAAACACTTGTATATATCTACAGCGAATAAAAAAGACAGAGAAAAACTTTGACAACATGATTTGTGAATGCAGCAATTTACTGCAAAAAGATGCGATGTATTAACGCTAATAATTCGAAAGCAGGCATGCATTGTGAGCATTAGTGAGAAAGAAAATGCAAATTGGTGCTTTCGAAGAAAAAGGGTTCCAGCCTACAGGTCCCATTGCTGGAGACACGCACGTTTGCGACGGACGCGGCAGGCCAGGCGACGCGCATGGCGGTGGAAAGGAACACGGAGTAGAGCACGAAAGCAGCGCCAAGGTGGCTCATGAGGCGGTACTGCGACACGCGCGGTACATCACTGGGCTCCTGAAAACGCTCTTCTTCCAGCCCTGACTTGACCATGTACCACCCCAGGAGCCCCTATACAAAAAGTATAAGTGTTATACTTCTGGATTCAAAAAGTATTCAGAATTGCAGACCACGCTGCACCTAGGTCATTTAGATGTGTCTTGAGCATCTCGAACAAAAATAAATCAATTACAAAATAACACAAGAATTTTTTATCTCTGGTGATGGAAGATTTAGACAAGGACCTGGCAGCCTAGCAGCACGCCACACAGCAGGACGCGTTTCTTCAATAAAGGTGTGAAATATCCACGATACCAGAAAATAGCAGCAGGTATGGCAAAACAAGCACCAATGGTACGTCCCCACTGCCGGTGTCCATACTCCATCCACCATATGAACTGGAACTCTGGCAGGGCCATGCTCTTGTTTTTCCTGCACAAATTCAATTTTACATTATTAAGAATAAGGTATTGAGGCTTCTTTTAGCACAAGTACTGTAGTACACAATTTATAAAACACACATACTTCATATTTGATGATTTTTTTTCACATATATAATGGTATTAATTTCTACACAATACATTTTGTGAGTAGAACTGCTTGTGTCATATTAAAATATGCAGAAAGTCATTGTCAAATACAAGGAACTCACATTTTGTATTCAGGGAACTGTTTGTACTGCTCAAATTCCTTAATCCACTCTTCGTGAGAAAGAGGGGGCATTTTGCCAAACAGATGCCAGTCAGTCATTGAGAGCCCTGATTCTGTGAGACGTGTCAGGCCACCTGTAAACATGTAAGTAATTTAACAGATACCATACATGGTTGAAGGTATAAGTAAGATTATATATATTTAAATGTATAAATTGCCAGTTAGTCTAACAATTACATCAGGTGGTCATCAAATTTCATAATATCTTCTGCAATTCAAATTTCATAATATCTTCTTAAATTCTGAACAAAATTGAAACTTACCAGTCTATACAGAGAAGGGAGATTACAAAAAGGATAAAACTATGCTAATATTGAGTACAGGATACATACTTACCAAGAGCAACTGCACCAAAAACCATCCCTGAACAACCCAGGAGCCACCGTCCAACCCATTTCTGAGCATGTCTGGAGATCTGCGGTTCAACCACTGCCGCTGCTGTGGCACTTCTTCGCAAGACTGCATGGAAGCTGGTGCTCTACAAAATTGCTACAAATTAGTACTTTAAAGAAACTAGAAAATTCTTCATACAACTGTTAATTGTAGTAAAATAAATTAAGATATATTTTTAATTTTTTTTTTTTTGTTAACCACATATGAATATGTCATTTCATATCAGCTAAAATATTTTAACCTAAATAAGTTCTAGTTGTTAGGGAACACTAGTTGACTTATGAATTTCTATTTTCATTATGTTTGCTAACAATTCTTATAGACGTCATCCCTTTTATAAATCATTTTTTATAGTCCTTTGCTTTTTCAATCATTTTTTAAATAACTAAAATAGGCAACACCAACACCCACTGTAAAGTTAGTGTAAAGATCAATATTTGCATGAATATTTTTTTTTTCAGACACTAGCCATTTTATTGTTGAAACAGTTCCTGCTATTTTCTCTACATTCTGGGTGGCCTCTGCTAATTTGTAACCTGCTTCCTGTACATTAGCCTATATCTAACCTTGGCTAAATCATGACCTGCTTTCTCCAAGGCCATATTCATAATATTGTGACTGATTTTACCCACAATCTGATAAGCTATGGGCCATGGCAAGCATGGCTCCAGGCTGCATTGAATCATTCATTCATTGTGACCTACATTTTTCCACTATCTGGCTAACTATTCCTGATTACTCCAATCTCCATGTTGACCTTTCTGCAGAGTTGCAGTCTGCAGTGCAGACTGCACCTCTTGACTAAATAGCTCCATTGTCAATTGTGATTGTGACCTACTAACTTTTTTGTCCTACTTTTCTAGGTAACTCTGGAGAAATTATGGTTATATTACCAAAACAATAAAATAAGGTTAGAGCTGCAATAGCCTATTTTAGAAATAAGTAGGAACTGTAGGATATTTCCAATCCTGGCCTTACAGCACTGAGAGTGGATAAAATCCATTATCCATGCCTGATTAAAAAAATACAACTAAAACATTACTAATTTGTCATCAAAAGAAGTAGGGTAAACGCGGTATATTCCGACACATTAAGGACGCATCGAGAAATGAAAAACTATAAAAAAACCGTATGCGTTACGTAAGTTCTGTTGCCTTCACATGACTCTCAAAACACTTCACTACGCGTCAGCAACGATGAAACGAGATGTGTATAAGAGACAGGGTTTAACGCGAATATGGTTTAACACGGTCACACGGATATGGTTGAACACGAATGTGGTTAACACGAATGTGGTTTAACACGAAT